GTAGCAGTGATCACCTGAGCTGCATGATTTGCGGGGCCAGCCCCACCTCCACCGCCACCGCCCCCGGCAGACAAACTTGCCGAGGAATGGCTTGCTCCGCTCCCCACGCCACCGCCACCAGTCCCCCCGATCGTACCTGGTGGGACATTCGATGGGTTGGCATAAGGCTGGGACACGTGCGGAGGAGGCTGTACGACTGGTCTAGGAAGCTTTTTCAATAACAGTGTGGGCATCTCGTTCGCCTCGTCGAAACGACGCCAAAGTTCATACAAATTGATCAAATGTCGAGTCACTTCGAGAACCTGACGAGAAAAATGGAATCAGGGTAATGAAAAAGCAGAAAAATGGAAGAGATTGGGCGATCGCAATTGATATTATAAGATGACGATAAGGAACGCGTACAACCAACACTGAACCAAGATGGTTTAATTGGAGAGCTCCACATCACTGACACTTAGGTGAATGTTATTTTAGACGAAAGAAGCAAAATCAGGGATAATTAAACATTGTTAACTTTCACCAGTATACAATGGGATAGGTTACATCATGTATTTGGATTTTGCACGTGGATTTGACGTTATATGTCAGGAGGTGCTAATTAGCCAAGTACGTTAGAACTAAACAAGAAATCTGGGTAAACCAATAAACAAACTACACATGTGTCGAATAAAAAGTTTTGATTTGTTTACCCTTTAATTTGAGTGAAATATCTAACTCAAAACAGACTTCGCAAAACACATTTCCGACAACTGTGTGAAAGCAGCATGGTCATGGTGTTGTCGTAAAAACCCTTTTTCACTGGATTCTCCCTCACCGTTTCTTAGAACTTGAATATTCTAACCCCTAAACACTCAATTAGATCTCTCTCTCAAGAATAATTGTATAACACAAATCAGATGTAAAGCACACTTGAAGTAACCATGGTTTTAATCCTGTGAGAATTCGGACATTAGATGCGATCATTTGAGAACAGGTCAACGCATTTACGGAAAGATATTACATAATCGAAGACGGACGGACCGACAGCTGAACCCAGACAGACTACTTACTTTTTCCATATCGACGTTCAGTTCAGAGAACCAGTGATCAGCTACGGCCAGTGGATTTACAGACGGTTGAGGATGATTGGTGATATAGACATGACGACTTGACGCACTGGCCAAACTGGCTGAAGCTGAAGCGCCAACCAGCAGATCATTATTGTTGGCCAGAAGGATGAATGCAGTTTGCAGGCAACCTACATTTTGTGGGATGGAGCAGAGGCATTAAGTAAATGCAGGTGACGAAAGGAGTGCAATTCGCTACAACGGAGTCCTGATCCCGTGTGAACAAAAAGGGTGACAAAAAGCAGGCGGCAACCGCACACAATAGTTTAAAGATGACGAAAATAAAAAGCAAACGAGATTGGTGAATGACAAGTATTTTCAGTGAAGTTGGCCATTTCCCAATCTGTCGCTGGGGCACACGACCCCCGATAGCGCGATTGTCACAGATCTTCGGATGTGCGTATCCCGTAATCTTCTGTTAGGCCATCTATATACCTGAAACCATGATCTGTATTTTCTGCACAAAGATCCAATTTGCAACGCTGGATATCCGTGTTAAGATAGGCCTTTCTTAACCGGTGAGCTCATTTACTAATCATTATGGTCCCGTGTGACGTGGATAGTCCAAATGTTGTCGGGACAACGTGGGTTTCCTTTGTTTTTCAGAGAATAGTTCCGCATAAGGAAGACCCGTGCCGGCAAACAGAGATCAAGCCCTGCAAATGATACATTTCAAGTTTCACAAGTTGGAGCCAAATAAAATCTGTGGATCAGACGAAAATCATGGTGGAAAACCACGCTAACTGTCTCTATGAAACTAAATATTTTACCGGAAGCGATGAGATGCTTACGAAATTACACTTCACCAATTTGAGATGACAAGGACAAGCCGTCTTACCGAGAGCGATGATATAAGGCGGGTAGTGCAGACAAACATCTGTTCGGAAGCTGTCATTCACTATCCACCTGAAAACAAAAGAGAAACAAGAACAGAAAATTTTAAAGAAGCCGGGGGAAAAACAAACAAATTGTGGGAGGGAGGTGGCGGTTTGGTGATTAATACACCATAACATTACTGCAAATCAAATCCGGATAGAAATTTTCTTTCCAACAAGATAACGTGAAGTCATTAGTCATATGGGAAGTATTTATGGTTCACAGTGGCAACAGGGATAATGATACAAACCGGAATAGTTTTTTGCGTTGCGTTGCGATAAGAGATCCCTACACCGTTCCATTTGCTTGATCTTTGCTTCTCGTACTCAAATCTGACGCACCTTGTTTAAGGTGGTTAGTTGTTTCGAACTGGGTTGATCAGACCTATTGGACTTTTGCCGATACCCACTAGGTGCGTGTGGTGTGACTCGATGATACGTTTACGCATCCACACGTTAACCTGATAGCCGTTCTTACTCAATCTCCACCCGCTTCCCAAATGTGTGTTTGCACTCGCTTGCTTACCATATTTATGGTGCGATCGGACGAGAGTCGCCTCATCTTTCGCGTCCACCCATCACGCACCGACAAATGATGTATTCATCGTTGAAACAATAATCATCATCCAAATACTGTCCATTATACGCTGCTGTCCGCCAGTTTGTGTATCATTCCGATTCCGCGTCCCATGCCGATGACTGTATAGTGCAGAACTTGGATCTTGGCTTTGACGATTCGGACGGTGGTGGCCCAGTGGGAACGTCACCAAATTATCACCCCGGAGGACCTGTTCGGATCCCACGGCCGCTCGATTTTCCCCGTTGTTACATGACGGTCCTTTGATTGGCCGCTTCCCCTTCCAGAAAATTGTATCTTTTCATCTTCAATAAAAGTAAAAATGAATATTGGTGAACAGAATCCTTTGATTTGACACAGGTACTTTGCTTTCCCTCTGAGTATAATTGGACCTATTATGTTCCTCGTATAGGTCAAGTCAAGTCCAGTAAAGCTTGACAATTTGTTGACTGTATAACGACCGCAACCCATTGCTGAAGCACGATGTGTGGTTTACTCTGTTCGACTGATACAAACAGTACCGTANCCGTACAACCAGCGAATCAATATTGTTCTTGACTTCAGGATCCTTCAACGGTTACGCGTGGTTTAACCGTCTAATTGATATTATACGGAACGGACGTAATTCTAATCGTTCGTTTCGGGACAAGTGAAGACAAGCACGCCAAGCTTTAGTGGTTAAAGAGTTTCATATATCACGACGAGACTGCACTTTGACGTGGTATGGTGGCCTGCGTGCCTCTATGACCCTGCGAGCTACATAGGATGGTTCCTCACAGCCGCAGATCCAATTTTGTCTAAAAGGTCCATGGGTAGAGGCCAGACAAAGCTCAGTCTCACAAGGCCAGCTGCTTGGGCACCTCCTGACTTCCTTCGATTATCCACTCCCGCCCCTGGAGAGGTCACTCCAGCAATTAAACACGGAGAGGGACAGTTTACCGGTCAAAAAATCNATCCCCGTTAGATGGACGTAGACGCGGGGTACCTGGGGATTCCTCCTGACGGTGGGAGAAGTCTTCGCACTTCATTGGACAGCTACCGCCCGCCCAATTTGGGCAACCCCCAGCCAATAAAGTGCTGTCCCGTCCATGTTCCGTTTATCTCATTGGGTGCATGAGGTTAAGAGCCGATCCCGAAAAACGGACCGATAACCAACGCACAAGCGAACAACAAACTTGACCGAAATTTAAAGGCCCTGCGTGACAGGTCTCCAGAAGCTCCCACATGGGTGCTTCGTTCACGCTTCTGCGTTGGATAAACGCTCCACCGCCTTGTGGATCAAACTTTTGAGTCGAAGGCTCCGGTTACGGTTCCCAAAAAACCATAAGTTTCCGTTGTCTTGTGGGCCAGACTTCCGAGTAAAAGGTGCACAATGTTTTCCGAGGCAGTTAGCCGATGGGAAAAGGGCATAGACGGTCAAACTAAGATCCGGTATGAGGGTATGAAAACCCCAACCAGGAGGTTTGGTCATGTATCGCTAGGCTCCCTTGATGGAGGCCTCGAGATCATGGTAACCGCTGTTTAGAGACTGAGCGATATGGCTGTGTCGTAAATAGTGGCGCTCGTGCATCTTTTTCTGGCAACCCCAGTCTATATGAACCCTCCATTTTCTCGATGGCTCTGCTCTCAAAGTGCCAATCATCATTCTGGATTTTGTCCAAAACAGCAGCAACCAAAACCAGGGCATGAAAACGAATGACTGTAAAATCTGAAACTAAAATAAATTAATATAGACAGATGATGCCATCAGAATTGATGCGTAGTTCTTCGTTAGCTGCCCATTCAAAGTTAACTTTACGGAGACTACCCATGATGCTCTCAAATATTTCGTTTGTAACGACCTTGAACAGGAATGGTAAAACAGGGAAAGCTTGTACAACACCAGGTCAGTACGGTCGGGATGGATGTCTTGGATTGTGGCTGATTACCTATCCCNACCTATCCCTTGTACATTACGACTAAATATCTCCGGCAACCTCTGCTGAGGAAGCCCTATACACTGCTGTCTTGTAGTGGTGTTTTCCCACCAAAGTGAGAGGACGAAAAGCCAACATCCGGGGCCATAACCCGGTCAGTGAACCACTGGCAGTTAACCTAGGGGAGTTAACTAAAAATCCTGATTCTAAACCAAAAAAAGAAAACGTACGAACCACATTCACCCGCACCTTTCTGTTTGTGGTAGTGGTCACCGGCTCGATTGAGTATCCGTATTGGGCAGCTCGGACGTTTGACCCAGTAAAAGGGTGTATGATCCGATGAACTGGACACCGAACCCCAAATGGATTGCGGTTTTCACTCATCGCCCCGTTGCCGTGCCGGTCAGGCCTTGGTTAACCGAAGGCTCCAGTTGTGGATTCCTCAAGAAAATTCGCCTGCCTTGGCCTGGGCAATCTGGCAATGTTCCACCCCAATGCAAATCCTGGAACTGATTTGTTTCTCTAAAGATTATTGTACCGTGATTTGCTTGGCACACAGTCTAGCCTCAGAGATGTGTGAAATTTATGTATATAATATGATAGACAAGGAAGAAAGATAACAGTGATCAAAATAAGATCCAAGGTAAAGGGCAGGTTGATCGCATACAACAATCTTAATGCATTACCGTGGGTAATTTTGATTCAAATGCATAAAAGAAGATATTAAATCGTTGATGAGAATTGTTCCAACTGCAATTCGTGGACAATCAGCGGTTGCGCTAACACAGAAAACCCGAAAACTGGGGGAAATCAGTGACGCGAGAGAGGTAAGAGTAAATTACTGAGGATATAATCGAACTTCACCCAAAGATCAAATCACGGAAAGTTGATCGGGTATTAGCAACCGATCTAGCAAAAAGATTACCACTCACCATGCACGCTCAAGCAAAAGGTCAGCCAATTCAGGCAACTGTGGACGAAGTTCTTCACAGAATTGTACCAGCGGTCGATATGGATGAAACACTATGAGTGAGCAATCCTGGTGAGTAAATGAGAAATCGGAAAAATCAGATGGAAGAAATAAATTTGCAGTGTTGTATACGTACCATATTTTCCTTGGCATTTATTCATTTCTCATTCCTATTATCCAGTGTTGCGTTTTGAAGTGATTTGATTTCATCAGTCTCATATTTTACCCAATGCTAGGTCAGTATATTTTTCTTCAAAATCCCATCGGATTTTACTCTTGAATGGAATATTAATATCATCAATGTTTCTCTTAACTATAAACTACAAATTGTATCGTTTCACCGTGGAGTACAGTATCGATTTCAGATTGGCCCAGTTTCAACGTGTCAACTAGTGTGGTTCTAGATTTTACGAATAAACTAGCCACACTAGTTTGGTTGGGAGCAGAGCGAGCGGAGTGTGACGAGCCTGCCTAAAAAAACAATTTTGTGCCATTCTACATATTGAATTGACAATTCGGATCTCAGCAGCTGGGAACAAATATCATGCGACAAAATTTGTGATTTGACTTTTTTACATTGCCTATCGGATACGCTACGTATCAATAATGAATAAAATTGGATTCCCGGCTACTGTTCGATACGCTCCCGTTTTCACTATGATGTCTCACCATGTACGTTCAACTCACTGTGATCCGCATCCCATCTTCAGTTAGACTACTGTATTCTTCACACCAGACGATTCATGGTCCCATTCATAGGACTTCCATTATGGGGTACTGAAGCTTCTTTTCTTTGTCACTCCACAGAATTAGTAAGTCTGTTACGTGCGCAAATTATTTCCTTGTGAGTTGTGTTGTACTCTCATAGTGGATAGCCGTTCCTCCATCACAAATTGACGCGGAATGGAATACGGTAAAAAAACGCTGGCTAGGTGACCGCAACTCGAAGCAATATCCTCCGAAACTCTCCTTAGTTTTGCACAGAAAACGAGATAATCCGGAGCAAAGAGTAGAAGCGCTGTCATAACAAATGATTCGGTATCAAACTGAAGTGTCCTACACATCTCCGCTTGTGTTCATCCACTCGTGGATAATTTCTTTAATAATGTTATCACCCGCGCACTCTAGTAATAGCTTCTTGCTCGATGAGGAGCGGATCACAGGAAATAGCCAAGTCACCTTAACTATGACATAGAAGAAAACAAAGGTCAACGTCCATCGACAGTTTGGTTGTTTGAAATTCGACTGGCTGCCATCGATTGCTTAGGAAGGAAAGCACTTGTTTTAAGGCAAGCAATAAGCTTGTTTACCCAAACCATAGATTTACACTAAGAATCTATTCGCTTTAATGCATTCATGTGATTGGTATACGGCCTGTTTCTCTGGTACAAAGAGGGTTATCCATACACATGTGACTGCTCTCAGAAGGGCTGCAATAGCAGAACATGAGAATTAATTTGGTTACGCATTAGTCATATTCGTTGCAGTAAACTGGACGACATCAACAAAGTCAATAGCTTCACATATAAACGTTTACTGATTTCTGCATGTTCCGAAGAATAGCCATGGTTGTGTCGATAAGCATAATTACAGCAGGTAAGCAAACATGAAAAAAGCTTTTCGACGGAACAAGGTTTTCTCTGACTACGCAAGAAGATAATGCGAAGAAATGACGACGGTTTGAAAGAAAGAACAAACAGACAAACTTGGTCAACGCATTGGAAATCGCCCAGTGTCAAAAATGTAAACCGTTTGCATATGACCGTAGGTTGAATAAACAACTTACTTACCATTGCTTCCAGGAGAATGAATTCGCACTCCAACACATCTTGCGGTCGATACGGATAGCCATATCCATCCGGAAAATACGCCGAATAATGATTGTGTACTGAATGGGCAGGAAGAACGATTGGTTACCAGCGGAACCACGGTCATACAGTTTCTCAATGACAATGTTAACCTGGAAGCAAATCGAGGAAGCTATGCAAATGTCAATAAAAGCAACGCCAAACCCTCGCGTAGGCTAAAATCACAAACGATGCATCTCACCGATGTCGGCTGCCGTGCTGAACGCCCACAAAACCCATCCTTCTGATGCCGCACATGACGCAGCGCGCAACTCCCTTAAACGCCAGCTCATTAAGAGTCTGAGGAATGACCGCGAGAAGTGGTGGATGGGAAAGCGTAGATAGATGCAGAAGGCTGCGACTATCGGTAATAGTCGCAATCTTTTCCATCTAATTAGGAATACGGGCCCCAGGAAAACATGCGTGAGGTAATTAAGGAGTCCGATGGCACACTGATTCACGATTAGAAAAGCCGTCTTGACCGTCTGGTTGAACATTCCGAGGCTCATTTCATCTGGCCCTCGTCAACATCTGAACTATCCCCCTCC